TCCTATGATGCTGCTTGGCCTGCTGTGTTCATCCAGCCCTGCACCTTGTTGTCTCGGATTCTCCAGCATCTGCAGTTCCTACTATCTCTGATTCGATGGTTAAAAAGGTGTTTGCTGTGCTTGCCTTCATTGCTCAGTCCTTTGAAAATTGGAATTGGGAAGTCATGTTGAGGTTGTACAGGATATTGGTTGCCCAGTTATAAGAAGGATATTATTAAGCCAGAGAGGGTTCAGAAGAGATTTACCAGGACGTTTCTAGGTATGGAAGGTTTGGGTTATAAAGAAGGGCTTGACAGGCTGGGACTTCTTTCACTGGAGTGTAGGAGGTTGAGAGGCAACCTGATAGAAGTTTATAAAATAATGAGGGGTATAGATAAAGTTATCGGTAGTTGTCGTTTCCCTAGGATGGGGGATTTCCAGACTAGGGGGCACATTTTAAGGTGAGAGGATAGAGATTTAAAAAAGACATGAAGGGCAAATTGTTTGCACAGAAGGTGGTTGCGTGTGGAATGAACTTCCTGAGGAAGGGGTGGTTTACAAAGTTTAAAAGACATTTGGATAAGTACATAAATAGAAAAGGTTTGAAGGGATATGGGCCAAGAGCAGGCCGGTGGGATTAGTTCAGTTTGAGATTAGGTTCAGCATGGACTGATTGGACCAAAGGATCTGTTTCTGTGCCGTATGACTCTATGGCATTCACTCCCATGAGCCAGTTCCACATTCAAATGGACCATGGCTGATCTGTATCTCAACATCATTTAAACTTAAGTTTAATTGGGCTCCACTGTAACCCACTAAGATGTGAGTAACTTATCGAGGAAATTTCACATTCTCAGCTCTCGAATCTTTAGGCCATCATTTCCCACAATCCACTGCAGCTCCTGTTCTGCTCAATGACACTCCCACCTCCACCTCTGATGTCCTTGTCCTGAGCTAAACCATTCCTCACACCCACCCTGGTTACTCCCCTTCTTGTGGCCCTCTTTCATTCCCTTAGTCCAAGAGACACAGACAGACAGGAACAGGAGTAGGCCATTCAGCCCATTAAGCCTGCTCCTTGACTAGATAAAATGATGCATAATCCTATTTTAATCACTACTCCACATTCCTAAACATTCCTGTTAATTTTTCACACCCTGAGTAATCAAGAAACTCCCTCTCTCAGCCTTAAAAATATTTAAAGATTTTACATTCACTGCCTTTCGATGACGGACATTCCAAACACTCAAAATCTTCTGAGAGAATAAAAAAAATCCTCATCTTTGTCTTAAATGTGTTAACTTTTTTAAACTTGGCCCCCTAATTCTCGAAGCTCCCACAAGAGGAGCCATACTTTCTATGTCCACCAAGTCAAGTCCCCTCAGGATCACATCTGTTTCAAAGAAGTCCCCTTTGAGCCCAGCAGGGTCCAGAATGAACACATCCGGAGTAAGTGTTCGCAGCTCGAGGAAATTCAGATCCAAGTCGAGGAGCTGGAGTCTAAGATGAAAACATTGTGTCACAACAGAGAAGGGGAAAGGTCCTTGGAAATCTTTCTCCAGAGGATGCTCACACCACTTGGACTAGGGAATTGGAGATTAGTCATGGATCAGGGACAGGAGGCTGTGACTGCAGGTGAGGCCGGTTTGGGTCCCAGACCTTTCTAACGGTGAGCCCAATGGCACAGGTTTGTGTTTGGATCCCAATCCCAAACATTTCCCGACCCTGGGATGGTAACCTGGGTCAGGAATGGAGGAGAAAGGCTGAGATTCCAATCAGAAGGTCCTCATTTTCCCCATTGCTGATGCAATTCCAGGCAAGTGCAGTCAGGGAATATCTGGCTCAGGGACAGGATTATAGAATCACAGAAATGTTCCAGTGTTGAAGGAGACAATTCAGCCCCATCCTATCTGCACTGAAACTTCAAATGAAGCATCATTCCTGGCTGCCACTGCCCTGCTTTCTCCTCAAGTCCCTGCATACCGTTGGGATAGAGAATAGGATACAGCAACAGTGAATCATTACAGCATGTGGTCAGGGGGGATCGATTGCAGGCGGTTTGAAACTTTCAACTGCTTCCTTTCGGTTTTTGGTGAGAATGAAACTTTTTAAATTACTACTTGATCTCCTCCAATCTGTCAGTTGTGAACATTGTGAAATTCTCCTCTCGATAGATTATTCTGTGGCAGGATCCTGCACAAAATAAATCAAAGCAGCAAATTAGAAAACTTTCAGCTGATGGATATATTTCAAATTATTCCCTCTCAAATTACAATAGCCACACAAGAAGCTTCAGTTTGTCCTCTGTAAATCATCATTTAACCAGGAGGAGATTTTATAAAATGCTACAATTCAAGTTACATTATTTTTTTCTCTTCGATATGAACAGATCCATTGGCTGATCCAGTCCTCATTCAGTATCCAGTGGTCAGCAAGGTACCAGAGGGTGAAACTGTTGAGTTCCAGTGTGCCATGTACAATGCCAGTGTGATTGACACTGATGTACACTGGCACTACCAGCGACCTGGCAGCTACATGGAGTGGGTGATAAGCCAGTTTGTGAATGGCATCCTCACCAAGGCCCAGCGTTTCCACGATCATGTTCAGCTTTCCAAGCCAGGAATTGAGGAGTATTCCATCACACTCCTGAATTGTGCCTTGTAGATAGTGGACAGCTTTGAGGAGTCAGGAGAAGGGTTACTATCCTGAGGAGCACAAAATTTATTGTCAATTTTAGACATTGCTCAGACTGAAATGACTATGTGTATAACATTCTGATATTTTACAGAAGAATCTTCTCATGGTATTCACTGGATTTCAGATCCCGTTTTTATCATTGGCACCATTCTGGGTTTCACTGTTGTGATCTGCATTGTCTTGCTCACATATCTCCTTCAGAAACAAATTCTATGCTCATCAGTAAAGGACTCCACACGAGGGTAAATTCTATTTCATCTTGGGTTTGATTCTGTCACTGCACAGTTATTGTTTTTGACATTGGGGTAAGTGCTGATATTCCCACTGCACCGTATAGATCCATTGTAAACGGTGGATCAGTGACTGTCGAGACAATCCCACACGTCCAGATGCCCAATCGTTGCCAGTTTGCTCCATTTCTGGGAGCACACGCCCTCCAGTGCCAGGCCACAGGCATCTACTGGTGACAGTCAGAAAGCTTTGAATGGGTCAAGCATTAGACATCACCTGCAGGATCCCCAGTAGATACCGGTTCATTACCCACCAAGCCGAGTGTCAGGGTTTGCCTTAGTGCTGGTAGCTCACTGGCAGCACAGTGCCTCCTTGCTGGGAAGGCCATGCGAGTGCCAGACCATTTGGCCCAATAGGCTGTGTTGGCATTTCACTTTGACATCTGCAAGAAGGTCCAAATCACATTTTCCTGCCCTGTTCCCTCATCCATTCAATCCCCTTTATCCTCACACCCTTCTCCAACTGAATCCTGAATGCTGACATTGAGTCTACCCCTGCCATTAATCTGGAGTGAATCCCAGAGCCTCCCCACCCTTGGGGGGAAGGGATTTCCCAAGCGTCTAAACTGAATCTGTTTTGTTGTAGTTTGTACCCATGACCCCTCATTCTTCATCCCCATAATAGTCTGTTTCCATCTTGTTCATTGCCCCTTAAAAGTGTTTTAAAGACTTTGATCATGGCCCTGAAGTCTGGGTCCTTCCAATGGTATAAAGATATTCTGAAGTTTTTCAATGTGTTTGTATGTGCTTATCCTGGGCAGCATTCTACTGAGTTGGTGCAGTTCTCTCCTTCAGTGTATTGTTGGTCTGAATCAGCTGATAGTGCAGCAAGTTTCTTGAAGAAATCTCTCCCATCCAAAATTGGAAATAACAACAACTTGGCCAAGTTTTCCAGCATGCCATCTAATTTTGTCAAAGTCTTTCCTTTGTTGTTCACATAAATTCTATATCATCCTTTTTGCCTTTAAGTTGGTTTGAAATGTCCATGGTGCAGCGTATAAAATCCATCAGCACTGAGAGTGTGAAGATGACAGTATCGTTCTGTGATAAATGTGCAATAATTCTAATGCATGGTACTTATTTAGGAGCCCTGTTGAAGACCAGAATGCTGTGTATGCAACAGTAAATGGTAAGCAAACTAATTTAATCATTATCGCAACATTTAGCAGGAATTACTCACTATTCCAAATATCCCTTTTACATGGTTAGATTCCTGACGTGTTTAATTAGCTAATGGGTATACCAGGTCATTTGTCTGATGAACAGAACTGACCGTGAAAGGTGGCAAACCCATAGCTGGCAGAATGAAGGTGATAAGATCCCCCTGGGCTTTTGGCTGCAGCTTGTGACTGCCCCTCAGGATGGCAATGGTGTAAAGAATGGCCCTGAAAATGGATGGACCTTCAGACACAGAAACAGCCTCCTATAGTCCACCAGCCAACAGAGACAGACGTTTTTAAATATGTAATATTGTCCCTTTCAGAACCATTCCTCAGATCAGTGAATGCTGACAGGGGACCGAATGGGGTTTTCAAGATGTTACAGGTTTTGATGGAGTGAGTCGGGAAAAAGTATTATCTGTCACATTCGCGATAATAATCAGAGATCAAGGATTTATGTTCATTGCAGAAAGTGTTCTGATCCCAATTGAGGAGACTGCTTGACAAGTCCGATCCCAGAATAATGTGGCCTTTATAGAGAAATGGTCTTAAACAATATTCCAGCTGCCTGGTCATGACGTTTGATGATTTGTCTCACAGACTCATTGATAGCAACTGGTGTCCAGCATCCGCCTGGAGATTACAGAATCCCTCCTTTGACAAGACACAGATGGGTGAGCTTCACTGTTTTTTTTCTGTACACATTCCTGGAACAGTAAACAACCAAAGAGATGAGCTCATGTCATTGTCAATTTATGATTTCAAGTCAACTTTTCCTCCACAGCCAACCTCTTGTCTTAAGCCCCTTGTTACACCTCACTTAAAATGGATCCCAGCTATTTCTGGAGTTGTCACAAAATTTGAAGATTTAATAAACCACACGCAAATCCCCCATTTCCCTATCTTTCAGACCCAGGTGGCCAGAAAGCAAAACTAGGTTTCTCTCCTGAACAAGAGTTCCTGTTTATAACAAAGAAATAGAATCTAGTTACAGGAAAACAATGATGAGGGATTCAGATACAAAACTACCAGTTAAAACTCATGCCCTGTTATAAACTCCCACTTTCCAACATAAAGAGTGACATAGACAGATAAAAACATGGGTGTTATGGACTGAGGGAAAGACTGGGAAGATAGTTCAGAGTTCCCTGCCGACAGGGTTTTCAGAGATGATTATTCTGCTGCTCAGACACAGTTTCTCAATCTTCCTTCTCCAAATGTTTTCACTTATTTACAGGAGGCACACAAGGACTGATTCACACTTATAGCAGCTCCCCGGCTGATTCACATTTATAACAGCTTACTGACTGATTCATTAAAAGCTGCAGCCTACACGAAATGCTGAGGAGAGATCAGCTGACTTTCTTCAGGCTTAAAGTGCTGTTTACTGCAGAGAACACAGAGACAACTCCTGAGCTGGTGGAGATCTAATGTTTTCTCTGTATCTGGTCAACACTTCCAAAGTTGTTTAGTTCCCTGTGAACCATTCACATCATTATTGGGAGGCAGAAGGCATTTGTTATCAATAACTGGTCATGGGTTCACAGACCAATCAACGACATGTTGCTGGTTAGAATGATATTTTGACACGTCCTCCTCCCCTCATCGCCTCCCTCTCCACCATTCAGCTTCATCTGGTCTGTAAACCTTCTCTCACTACTGCCCTAAAAGGCAGCTGTGTAAGCAAAACTTACAATGAGGGTCAGGTGACTTGATTTCAGAAAGTGCAGCAATCCCTTGACAATCCTTGATTGGTAAAACAGTGAATTTCCCATTTCAGTCCACAATCAAAGATACAAAAGATGAAAACATTTCCACTCCATGACAGCTCATGTCTCTAGCTCATTACTCCCTGGCATAAAGAGAGACCAGGCAAACTGATCCCAAGTCTCTACATAGCCTCTACACATTCAGAACTATTGGAGAGCAGCTCACCATGACTCCTCTCCAATTTGCCTTCATGGTGACCAGTGACTGAACCTTCAGCAGAAAAAAAGTACTCAAAATGGCAAATGAGATGTACTGGTCCAACTTGCCTTGTGTAACTCAAAATGAGGGTTCAGTATGACTGGTATGTTCAGTTCTGGGATCTGCTTCTCTGCAGTATCTCTATTCCGCTTCCACTCGGCTGTACTGTCAGCTGCTCGCAGTTATGATTTGGAAATTGTTTGTCAAATCAGTTGCTTCCATGGAAATAGAAACATTTCAACACTGTAATTCCTGACTCTGTCTAATCAGCATACAGTCATCTCTCATTTCACAATGATAACTGAATGTAATATTTCTTGTTTCCATCTTACTACAGCATGTGAAAGATTGACCAGCAGATTCTGACTCAACATACATGGTAAATATGTCGCATTGCAATTATCATCTGGATTTTACAAAATTCATCCTATTCCCAGAGTCCTCTTTCTGTGTTTCCGTTGGTCGTATCATCCGACTAACATTTCTATCCACTAATCGCCTCCAGTGGGAATGGGCTCATTGCCTAGCAAACCAGATTGTCCTTCATGCTGGATTCCCAATTCAATTACTGGGATCTTCCTGCTCATGTCTCATATTACTGTCTCCACTCTCCGATCTCATTCTTTCTCCAGATGCTTTCACTAGTTTACAGGGGGCACAGGGGGACTGATTCACACTTATAGCAGCTCCCTGACTGATTCACATTTATGGCAACTCTTTGACTAATTCACATGAATAGCAACTCTCTGACTGATTCACACTAGTAGCATCTCCCTGACAGATTTATACTTATTGTAGCTCCCTGAATGATTCACATTTTTGGCAACTCCCTGACAGATTCACACGAATAGCAGCTCTCTGACTGATTCACACTTATAACACTCCTGCTGATTCAGTAGGATATACATCCTATCGGAAAGATAGGCAGGTGGGCCAAAGGGGTGGGGTTACCTTTTTCGTGAGAAATTAAATTAAATCAATAGGAAGAAACAAAGTAGGGTCAGATGGTGTAGAATCTGTGTGGGTAGAATTGAGGAACCTCAAAGGTAAAAAAAAACATAGTTGGGGTTGTGTACAGGCCTCCAAGCAGTAGTCAGGAGCTGGGGCGCAAGATACACCAGGAAGATAGAAACGGTGTGTAAGAAAGGCACAGTCACAATGATCATGGGGGATTTCAATATGTAGGTGAACTGGGAAAATCATGTTGGTAATGGATTGCAAGAAAAGGAGTTTGTGGAATGTCTCTGAGATGGCTTTTTGGAGCAGCTCGTGGTGGAGCCTACAAGGGAACAGGCAATACTGGATTTAGTGTTGTGCAATGAGGCAGACTTGATAAGGGAGCTTAAGGTAAAGGAACCCTTAGGAGGCAGTGATCATAAGCTGATAGAATTTACTCTGCAATTTGAGAGGGAGAAGATAGAATCAGAGGTAATGGTATTACAGCTGAATAAAGGCGACTACAGAGGTATGAGGGAGGAGCGGGGCAGAATTGACTGGAAGAGGATCCTAGCAGGAAAGACAGTGGAACAGCAATGGCAGGAGTTTCTGGGAGTAATTCAGGAGACGCAGCAAAAATTCATCCCTAAGAAAAAGAAGCATGGTACAGGGAGAATGAGGCAACCATGGCTGACTAAGGAAGTCAGGGATAGCATAAAATCAAAAGAGAAAGCATATAATGTGGCAAAGGACAGTGGGAAACGAGAGGACTGGGAAGATTACAAAGACCAACAGAAGGCAACAAAAAAAGAAATAAGGAGGGAGAAGATTAAATATGAAGGTAAACTAGCCAGTAATATAAATGAAGACTGTAAGAGTTTCTTTAGATATAGAAAGGGCAAAAGAGAGGCAAAAGTGGACATTGGACCACTGGAAAATGACGGTGGAGAGATGGTAGTGGGGAACAAGGAAATGGCTGAGGAACTGAATAATTACTTTGCGTCAGTCTTCACGGTGGAAGACACGAGTAATATCCCAAAAATTCAAGAGAGTCGGGGGGCAGAGCTGAGTATAGTGGCCATCGCCAAGGAAAAGGTGCTAGTAAAACTGATTAGCCTGAAGGGGACAAATCACCCGGACCAGATGGACTACACCCCAGAGTTCTAAAGGAGATAGCTGAAGAGATAGTGGAAGCGTTAGTGGTGATCTTTCAGGAATCGCTAGAGTCAGGGAGGGTCCCAGACGACTGGAAAATCGCTAACGTGTGACATCCCTGTTTAAAAAGGGAGTAAGGCAAAAGATGGAAAATTACAGGCCGATTAGCCTAACTTCAGTCATGGGTAAGATTTTGGAGTCCATTGTAAAAGATGAGATTTCTGAATATTTGGAAGTGTATAGTAAAATAGGGTAAAGTCAGCATGCTTTCATCAAGGGGAGGTTATGCCTGACAAATCTGCTAGAATTCTTTGAGGAAGTAATGAGCAGGGTAGACCAAGGAGAGCCAATGGGTGTTATCTACCTGGACTTCAAAAAGGCCTTTGATAAGGTGCCACACAGGAAGCTGCTGAGTAAGATAAGGGCCCATGGTGTTAGAGGCCAGATGCTAGCATGGATAGAAGATTGGCCATCTGATAGAAAGCAGAGAGTGGGGATAAAGGTGTCTTTCTCAGGATGGCAGCCGGTGACAAGCGGTGTTCCGTAAAGGTCAGTGTTGGGACCACAACTTTTCACTTTGTACATTAATGATCTAGATGAAGGAACTGTGGGCATTCTGGCTAAGTTTGCAGATGATACAAAAATAGGTGGAGGTACAGGTAGGATTGAGGAGGTGTGGAGGCTGCAGAAGGATTTGGACAGGTTATGAGAGTGGGCAAAGAAGTGGCAGATGGAGTACAATGTGGGAAAGTGTGAGGTCATGCACTTTGGTAAGAAGAATAAAAGCATGGACTATTTTCTAAATGGGGAGACAATTCAGAAGTCTGAAGTGCAAAGAGACTTGGGAGTTCTAGTCCAGAATTCTCTCAAGGTAAAAACTGAAAGAACTGTGGATGCTGTAAATCAGGAACAAAAACAAAATTGTTAGAGAGGCTCAGCAGGTCTGACAGCATCTGTGAAGGAAAAAAACAGAGTAAACATTTCGGGTCTGGTGACCTTTCCTCTAACCTGCTGAGCCCCTCCAGCAATTTTGTTTTTGTTCTCTCAAGGTAAACTTGCAGGTTGAGCCAGTAGTCAGGAAGGCAAATGCAATAATGGCATTTATTTTGAAAGGACTTGAATATAAAAGCAGGGATGTACTACTGAGGATTATAAGGCTCTGGCCAGGCCACATTTGGAGTATTGTGTGCAGTTTTGGGCCCCATATCTCAGGAAGGATGTACTGGTCCTGGAGCGAGTTCAGAGGAGGTTCACGAGAATGGTCCCAGGAATGGAAAGCTTAACATATGAAGCAAGTTTGAGAACTCTGGGACTATACTCATTGGTGTTTAGAAGGATGAGGAGGGATCTAATTGAAACTTACAGAATACTGAATGGCCTGGGAAGAGTGGATGTTGGGAAGATGCTTCCATTGGTAGTAGAGTCTAGGACCCAAGGGCACAGCCTTAGAGTAAAGGGAAGACCTTTTAGAACGGAGGTAAGGAGAAACTTCTTCAGCCAGAGAGTGGTGAATCTATGGAATTGACTGCCACAGAAGGCTGTGGAGGCCAGGCCATTGAGTACATTTAAGACTGAGATAGATAGGTTTTTGATTATCAAGGGGATTAGGGGTTACAGGGAGAAAGCAGGAAAATGGGGTTGAGGAACTTATCAGCAATGATTGAATGGCAGAGAAGACTCGATGGGCTGAATGGCTTAATTTCTGCTCCTATGCCTTATGTCTTATGGTCTTATGGTCTTATAAGCTGCAGCTTACGGGAAATGCTGAAGAAGAAATTAGCTGACTTTCTCCAGGCTCAAGGTACTGTTTTGCTGCAGAGAACAGAGAGACAGCTCCTGAGCTGGTGGAGAACTGTTGGCTTCACTGTATCTTGTTCACACACCCAAAGTTGTTCAGCTCCCTGTGAAACACTCACATCATTATTGGGAGGAGAAGGCATTTGTTATCATGGGTTCACAGACCAATCAGCTATGTGTTGCCAATTAGAATGATATTTTGACACCCCTCCTCCACCCCACTCCCTCTCTACCCTCCAGCTCCATCTGGTCTGTAAACACTCTCCCAATACTGCCTCAACAATGAGAGTCAGTTTCCTTGATTTCAGAATGTGCAATAATGCCTCAACAATCCTTGGTTTATAGAACAGTGAATTTCCCATTTCAGTCCACAATCAAAAATACAAATGATAAAACCATTTCTGCTCCATGATGGCTTGTTTCGCTAGTTCATTACTTGCTGACATAGAGACAGAACAGGAGAACTGATCCCAGGTCTCTGCATAATCTCTCACGCACTCATTAGGGGCTATTTGAGAGCAGCTTAGTATGGTTCATCTTTAATTTGCCCTCATGGTGACCAGTGACTAATCCTTCAGCAGGAAAATAAAACACTAAAATTGGCAAATGAAACATACTGATCCAACTTGCCTTGTGTAATTCACAATAAGGGTTCAATCTGACTGGGATGTTCAGGTCAAAATATTGCTGATATTGTTCCTGATTTTCCCTCTGGGATCTGCTTCTCTCCAGGAGCTCTATTCCTCTTCCACTCGGCTGTACCGTCAGCTGCCCACAGTTATGATTCAGAAACTGTTTGGCAACTCAGCCACTTTCATGGAAATAGAAATGTTTCAAAACTATAATTCCCGGCTCTGTCTAATCAGCATTCAATTGTCTCTCATTTCACAATGATTAATTAACCCAATCTTTGTTGTTTCCATCTTATTACAGAACGTGAAAGATTCTCCAGCAGATTCTGATTCAACATATATGGTAAATATCTCACACTGCAATTAACATCTGAATTTTACAAAATTCACCCTATTCCCAAACAGTCCTCTTCCTGAGTTTCAATTTGTCCCATCGTCTGACTGACATCTCTATCCACCAACGATCACCAGTGGGAATGTGGTCAGTGACTAGAATCCAGACTGTCCACCATGATGGATTCCCAACTTGATTACTGGGATCTTCCTGGTCAGCTCTCATTTTACTGTCTCCACTCTCTGATCTCATTGCTTTCCAGTCCCAGGTTCAGACCATCACCCCTTAAGCCCCATCCTGGAAACCCTAAGTCCAATTATCATCCTCTTCCAATCAACTTCACAGACTATCTGCTATCCCTTCCTCTCTCATACACAATACTCTGGTCTCCTCAGTCACTTCCGACCTCAGTAGTCAGCTGTGGTCATCACTGCATTCCACAATTCTCATAAAGAAATAACTTTTTTCCACTTATATCACTCCTCTCACAACCTCAACATGGCCTGGTAGACTTTACACCAAATGAAGTCCTTTAGAACTGTGGTCACTGTTATCCAAAAGGGAGGAATCAATTTAAATGTCACTGGGAGAACAATGTTGCTTTAGAACAGAAGAACATAAGAAATAGAAGCAAGTGTAAAGCTGACAGCTCCTCCAAGCTGCTTCACCATTAGATACAATCCTGAAGGATAATCTGCCCCAATTCCACTTTCCCACCTGCTCCTCATATCCCAAAAATTCTCAGAAAGGCCAGAGGTCTGTCCATTTCAACACAAAATGCTCTCAAAACTGGAACTTTGTCAACTGTGTTGGGGAGAAAATTCCAAAGATTAGCAGTTTGAGGAAATAAATTTCTTTCAAAAAATTCATCTGTCCCCTTGATCGAGAAGACAGGGCTTCAGTTTGTCATCTCATTGAAAAGCCTGTCCTGCTGACAATGCTGCACTGCCTCTGTACTGCACTGAGGGAACATCTTGGATGGTATGATCAAATGTAAGGACTTGGCTTTCAATCCAAAATCTCCAGTCTCAAAAACAAATGTTTTTTCCACTTAGCCGATACTAATGAGTGAAGGAGGCTGTTAACATGGATCTGCTTCCAGGGAGAGAAATCCCTTTTACCGATTAACAGTATATATTGTTAGAATGTGAAATAATTCTAAATAAGTCATCATTTTGTCAATGTTATAGACCACATTTTTTCACATTTCTCTTTTTCCTGTCAGACAATGAAGTATCTGGATCATTCTCATTACAATGAGCTTAAAGGTATGTTTCCAGTTTTGACTCCAACAGAGTACTTTACCTGATGCAGCGATGTTTATGCTATCTCCTATAACATGAGAATCTGGGTGTGGGGATTGTGTCTTTAATGAGTCTACAGGCTACAATTATGTACAACGACTTCAGAAATGGAGGAGGCTCCTATTATCAACAAATATGATCTTGCTCAGGCATGTCAATGTCTGGGCTAATATTCGCGATTGGGTACAGAGAGCAGGATTATTTCCAGACGAGTCCCATGCTTCATGGGATCTGATGCAAGATGAAGTCTGTGATCTTTATACTCTCAGGTCACAAGCTGTGATCCAGCGTGGGGGATGTCATCAGCATGTAGAATCATAGAATCATTCAGTACAAAAAGATGTCCTTCAGCCCATTGAGTCTATTTCTCTGTATAACAACTCCCCAAGGCCTTACCATATGCTTCCTGTTTTATTACAGCTGATTTCAATTCACCCTGTCCATATCCTTCATCATCTTACTCACATCACTCAGATCCTCCTCAGCCTTCTCTGGTCCGAAGAAAACAACACAAACTTATCCAAGCTCTCTTTTTAGCTAAACTGTTCCATCCCAGGCAATGTCCTGATGAATCTCCTCTGCACCCCCTCCAGTGCAATCATATCCTTCCCGTAGTGTGCTGACCAGAACTGCACACTTTACTCCAGCTGTTGCCTGACCAACATTCTGTACAGCTCCAACATAACCTCCCTGCACTGATAATCTTTGGCTTGACCGATAAAGGCAAGTAGACCATATGCCTTCGTAACAACCCTATTAACCTCTCCTGCCCCCTTCAGGGATCTGTGGACAAGCTTCCCAAGATCCCTTTGTCCCTCTGAGCTTCCTTGTGTCCTGCCATTCATTGAGTCCTCCATGTCTCAGAAAGCTCCCGTGACCCACTGACTTTAAGACTGAACACACAACCGATGAAATGGAATTAAAAGCGGCAGTGAGTGTGGTGTGGTAACAGGCCATTATTGGTCATTTTCCCTTCGTAGCCCCAACATGTTGGAACCAAATGCAGCCTCGACTGACATTGTGTCTGGGATACACACATTCACCACTGCCTGATGAGAGAGGTTGGGAGCTTCCAGGCAGGAATCACTGAGTTACTTTCTGGATAAACTGAGCATCTGAAATCATGTTTTATGGCTGCATTTGTCTGAAGATTAATGTTGCAAACTAATAATATTTTTAATTTTGTTTGGACAGGCCCTAAACAAACTCCTGGAACCTAACATACAGAAACAATCCTTCCGTAGGATGCCTGGGTCCTGGAACATAAAGATTAACAGATACTGACTGCAAGACACTCTTCCCAGACCATGCACACTCATTGAGAGAGATTGTAAATAGTTGAGGCTTCAGCACTGACCCTGTGACAATCTGTGATGTTTACCTTGTCTAGCCTAATGTAACTCCCTCTGGGCACTTTGGAGTGGGCAATAAATGCTGCCTACCTAGTGATGCCCAATAACCAGGAACAAATCAAAGGAAAACTTCACGAGTTATACGCAAAAAGGATTTATCTATCGCGTTCTTTGTTTCCTTTTGTGAATCCACCCTCTATTCATGATAATGTGATCCTCCCTTCAACATGAACTCTTTTGTATGGCATAATCTTTGATGTGCTTTCATAATACAAATGTAACACATCGACAGATCACCCTTTCTCCACATTGCTTGTTATTTTGTCAACAAGATAATCAATGAGTCAAACACATTTTCACTTTCACAAAACCACAGTGACTCTGCCTGTCTACATTGAGATTTCGAAGTCTCTTGCCATAACAGCCTTGGTAATGGATTCCAGCAATTTCCCCCAGCAGACATCAGGCTAACACCTTTTATTATTTTCTTACTGGCTTGAAGGGGAACTTGCAGGTGTGGTATTTCCATGTATCTGCTCCTCTTGTCCTTCTAGATGCAAGTGGTCATGTGTTTGTCAGGTACTGTCTGAGGATATTCAGTAAATTTCTGCAGCCCATCTTGTAGAAGATAGGCACTTGCTGCTGCTGAGCATCAGTGGTGGACAAAGTGAATGCTTGTGGATGTGGTGCCAATCAAACAGGCTGCTTTGTCCTGGATGGCGTCAAGCTTCTTGAGTGTTGTTGGGATGTTTAAAGAAATGTTGTGTTGTAGATCACAGGGCCCAGACGGCAATGGGTGACAGTTCCTCACAACCTCTGCAACTGGACAGTGTTATAGTCTGTGTGAACTGTCCTGTGTCTGTAATTGTATAATGTCTGGCCCCTTGTTTCTGCTTCTCATTGAAGATAACAACTGTATTTCTTGAAATGTTCAATATTCAGATTGAATATGAATCTCACTCTTTGCCACATAAATAATACTTCTAATTGACTTTATTTTAAACTACCTCCAAACACTGTGTGCAATTTATTTAACTGCAATGAAACAGGTTTGATCAGACTAACGTCAGCAATTTCAAGGACAGATTAAGAAACTCAGGTCAAAGAGAAGATCCTGAACCAGCCCCTCCTCCAATTGAACATACTGCTAAAGGTTTTCTTGGTCAGGCTTTGGAGAAACAATGTCAGTGTCCCCTCAAATTAGCATCCATGCCATTTTTTATCTGAGTGTTTCTGGAACTTACTGTCCACACATTAACCCTTTAAAACATCCAATTATTTCAAATGTGCCTCTTTTCTGAGGGGTGGGTTTATGACAACCTGCCACCGCATTATATTTAAAGTTGGGTGTGACACAGTAAATAAAGTAAACATTCTGCCCATTGCCTTTTTTCCTAGCCCCTAATGGAGGATATGTTGTGGAGTACCTGCTTTTGGGAGTGCCCTGTGCCTAGTGTCACATGCCCCCCTGATGACCATCTCTCTCTTGTTCCTCCTCCCCCAACCTCTCCCGCCTCCCCCCTCCCCTGCCCAGCTGGGACTCCAATCCCAGCTAGACTAAAATGCTTGGGTTTAGGGTCAAGTACATGCTCCATGTTTTCCCTCCCTGGGGGCTGAGAAGTCAAAATGCGGAGAAGTAAGAATGGGAGAGGAAACTGTCTCAGACAGAAAGAAAGAACATGTTTAACTGTCAAACAATACAGCACAGAAGGAGGACCTTTAGTCCATTGTGATGATGTTAGCTCCTCAATCAGGATATCCAATAACTCCCACTGTTCAATTTCAGAAATTCCCCTGTTGGTAAAAGAGGAAACGGGAATGAACCTTTACTCAGTGTTACATTTATTTACAGAGTGAGACAATTCAAGCAAAGACCTCCGAATTCAATCCAATCAGTTTCAGTACTCAGAGATAGTAGGAACTGCAGATGCTGGAGAATCTGAGATAACAAGGTGTAGAGCTGGATGAACACAGCAGGCCAAGCAGCATCAGAGGAGCAGGAGGGTCTAGGCCTGAAAC